TGTGCATTTTTTGTGTGTGTGGGGGGTCTTATCAATTCGTAGTAAGCCCCAAGCCCACAGAAGAATCAAGCAACCAGTGTCGAAGCAATTTAGGGCTTACGGGTCAAGGGCTAAAAATTAGCCCAGGATCGAGGGTTTAGGATTTAGATTTAGGGCTGGGTGTTGCTTGGGGTAAAGGCTTGGTGGTTCTGAGGCTTTAGGGCAAGGCTGCCCAGATTTTTTAACGGTTCTCACGGGCTCAGAGGCTTCACCTAAACCCTATAAACCCTAAAACCTGAACCCTAAACCCTAAATCCTAAACCCGAAACCCTGAACCCCAAACCCGAAACCCGAACTCAACTGTCTGAGGGTTGGCTTGGGGGGGGTCGAAGCCTCGAACAGGCTCATCACGCCCATCCAGCCCATGAGGCCACCCATGAGCCTCGGCTCCCCCTAAACCCTACCTTGGGCGCCCAAAACCCAGAAAAAAGCGGGTCAGGAACCCAAAACCGGGTTTTCCGGAAGATTTTGTCAAAAACCTGGTTCTGACTAACATAGCCGGGTTCTTTCAAAATGTGACGTAAAGAACCCGTAAATACCATCGGAAAACCCGTAAAAAAACCGTCGGGAACCCATAAAAACCGTCGGCTTTGTTTTGGCCGTACAAAACCCGGCTGGTGTTAAAGTAGAACCCTTTTTTTTGGGTTTTCAATGTCGAGAATAAACCCTATACCCTATGCCCGAAACCCTAAACCCCTAAACTCTAAACCCGAAATCCGAAACCCTATAACCCCTAATTAATTAAACCCCAAATCCAGTCGTTCAGGAAGTCACGGCGCTTCTCGCCGACGTCTGTCAGCGTCATGGGATGGCACGCAGTATTGTTCGCACACAGCGAGGGCTACCTGCTGCTTGCGACGCGGCCCCGTGTGGCCTTGCCGGGAACGGCAAGGGCTTGCCTGCAGCGCAGATGGCCACGTTCACGTCAGATCTCGGCTCGGAAGCCACTCCAACTGCGGTGCCTGCTTTCCGCGCCCGGGAGTTGGCCGTGTTCTCCCGATCCGCCTTAACTTCTTTTGGAGCTCGTCCGGGGCCTGCACAGGCTGGGGGTTCGGTTGCGAGGGAGCGGGCCCGCGAGCTCCGCCGCCGTCCTCTTCGTCTTTCAAGAGCTTCTCCAAGTGGGCCTTTTCCTTCTGGTGGAGCCTTGAGAGCCTGCGCAGATTTCTATTGCCCCCTTGCACATTCGTGGCTTGCATGCGTGGACTTGGGTTGAGGAATCTCCACGAAGCCTGCCTTCTCCCCGCGGGCTCGCTCCTCCGCCTTCGTGGCCGCCTTGGCTTCCTCCGTTTTCTTGTGCCTCTCCTCCTTCTTCGCTTCTTTCCTCCCACGCCACAGCGCACATGTCAACTCACGCCTGCCGCGCGCGGTCAGCCGTCCCTGCCTGGCTTTCTCCCGGGCTTCTTTGTCCTGCTTTGTCTTCTCCCTCTTCTCGCACGCCGCCTGCCGGTCACGGACGGGCGTCGCTTTGGCTTCACGGTCTCCTCAGGCCAGGCGCCTGCTCTTCCACCGGGGTGGCTTTCAGCCTAGATAGGGCGTCCGCAGCAAAGCGCATCCTTGCAGTGAAGCAGTGAGCTCGCTCCAGCCTTCATCTCGAGGTCCAAGGTCATCAAGCGCGAGAGGGCGTTCGACTGGGGTCCAGGCGGCACCACCAGGGGCGGAGCAGAGTCCTCGCATTCTCGAGGGGCAGGACCTGCGTTCATCTGGATTTTACATGTGCGGTTGCAGCACCTGCGTCCTCTTCGTTGCCTTCCGTGTAGATGGCTTCTGCCAGGCTCTTGACGACCGCCCGGTGTTCCAGGAGCGCATGCAGGGCCAGGTCCCTGCGCGCGGCGAGCCGGCTGCACAGCTCCTGCATCGAATCGAGAGTGAACAAAGGCCTCTAAGGTATCATCATAGTTTATGGGTTTTTTCAGACCCAGAGAAACCAACATGAAAAACAAAAATCTAGCAAGAAATGCGAAATCTTCGAAGATTTCTAGAAATCCAAAGGTCTCGTATCCTGAGAAATAATCCCGAAGATTCAAAGATTTTTTATGATCGAACCAATCGTAATATCATTTTCAGATACCCTTAGCAATTCCAAGGTCTGAGGTATCCACTTTATTTATTTTCATATGCATTCATACATACATTTACTTGTTCGTCATATTTCTTCCCGATTCTGTCATTATGAAAATCGCATCTCCAGATATTCTTATAAGAATATATACACAAAAGCTCTATACAAAATGAAGATTCCTCTTTCCGAAGAAATATTGATTTTCGATCTTGAAACCTGTTCAATATGAATATCCATTCCTGCCCTTGAGCATTTTACGAATGCCTTGAGAAAGCAATAAATCTAAGTAAATTCCTCAGCGCCTTGCAATTATCGCCCAAAAGTCTTGGTCTCCCACGTGGCTTATACACTTCGCTCAAAGAGCTACGCCTAAACTCCGATTCAATAACTCTTCTAAAACTAGGAAATAATATAAATGCGCGGGCAAAATAGAAATGAAACAGTAAGCCCGCAGCAATAATTGATAATATTGGGGCACATTAATTTCTTCTATTTCGTGCCCCTTTATTTAATGTAGGAATGTCATGCACACTTATCAATTCAACATGAAATTGTATGGGGCTTAAGGGGTTTTCTTGCGTGTGTTCCAAAGCCCCTTTTCCCCAGTAACAATATTGATTAATGTTGGTATTGAAAGCACGCAACATTAGTAGTATTACTGCGCTTTTACACACGCCCCTATAATGTAATACAGATTGAATGAAAAGCGCGTTCCTTGCCTTTTATTCACTTTGAGGCTGAATCACCCTCCGTAACGAAAAGCAAAAAAAATGCAAAAACAAAGAAGGCCAAAAACAAGATAGTTTCCTAAGAAGAGTTTTCTGGAAACTAAACCCTCAAAGGCGGAGCTGGTTAAGGGTGGGAGCCGCCCTTTACGCGCGCGGGTGGGAAGAGAAAAACTTTCGCGTCCGATACCAGGCCCCAGCCTCCGAAGCCCAAGCGGCTGAACATCCAAGCCTAATTATTTCCTGCACGAACCCGAAACCCTAAACCCTAAACCCTAAACCCTATTATAAACCCTAAACCCTAAACCCTCAACCCTAAACCCTAAACCCTAAACACACAACCCTGGGCTCAGGGTTTTGGATCTCAGGCATGGGTTTGGGGTTTGGGTTTTCGGAAGGACTGAGGTTGTTAAGACATATCTATATACGTGTATATATATATCCCTAAACCCTAAACCCTAAACCCTGAGCCCCAGCCCTAAACCCTAAACCCTAAACGCACAACCCTAAACCCTACGCCACGCTATTTGGCGAAGCTGGGTCCCGAGCCCAGCCACACCGGCCTGGGTGAGGCCGTAGATGGTGTAGCCCTGGGGGTTTAGGGTTTGGGGTTTAGGGTTTAGGGTTTAGGGTTTAGGGTTTAGGGTTTAGGGTTTAGGGTTTAGGGTTTAGGGTTTAGGGTTCAGGATATAGGTTGTACAGGATTTTTAAGAGTTTTTGTGGGGTTTTAATGGGTTAAGGGGAAAAAAGGTAGCCCTGAGCTTCAGGGGGGTTCAAAGAGGTTTTAACGGGGTTTTGTCGGGGGGGGGGTTAAGGGTTTAAAGGGGAAAAAGAGGTTATAAAGGGTTGTTACAGGGTTTTGAAGAGGCGTTAAGGGGTTGAAAAGGGTTTCGAAGATTTTTTAACGGGGTTTTAGGGGTTCAAAAGAAATTTTTAAGGGGTTTAAGGGGTTTAGGGATTCAGGGTTTTTCAAGGGGAGTGGGGTACCCCAGAGCTTTAGAGGTTCATAATGTGACCAGGGTTTAGGGCTTCGGGTTTAGGGGTTGAGGTTTCGATGGCTTGGGAGCTAGGGCTGTTTTGGTGCTTGCCGCGCGGCGATCATCAGGAGAGCGCAGGGCACAGAGGTGCAGATCAAGACCATCGCGGCCTGACGGGCGTCCAAACGCTCCGGGGCTTAGGACGCAGGACCCAAACCCTAACCCTAAACCCCCAAGCCCTAAACCCCACACCCCCTCCCCCCGCCCCCCCCCCCACCCCCCACCCACGACCCTAAACCCTAAACCCTAAACCCTAAACCCTAAACCCTAAACCCTAAACCCTAAACCCCCCCCCCAAGCTGAGCCGACCTCGGCCCCGAGGGTTTGGAGATTCCTCTAAACGCTCCAGCCCATAGGGTTCGCAGTACCCCCGCATGAAATTCTAACCCAGTACCAGCCTAGTTCCCCTACGTACAACCCTGCTGATAAGTACCCATGCCACTCCAAGCTGCACCCGAAACCCGAAATTCTGAACTCTAAACTCTAGACCCTGGACCCTAAACCCCAAACCCTAAACCCTAAACCCCAAACCCCAAACCCCAAACCCTAAACCCTAACCCCTAAACCCTAAACCCTAAACCCTAAACCCTAAACCCTAAACCCTAAACCCTAAACCCTAAACCCTACCTAAACCCCAGACCCTGAACCTGCCAGAGAAGGGCCCCGACCTTCCGGGCCGGAACGCCGCAGAAGAACATGAGGCTCGTGACCTCGTCTTGGAGGGTGGGCTCAAATTTGAGGGCTTTTTAGGGTTTAGGGTTTAGGGTCTAGAGGGTCACTGTTCTAGCATTCATAGTCATTAGGGGGTTCCAGGCTTAGGAAAATAATCCCACCCGCCCAAAGAATCCCATAACATTAAGAAATATAAGGTTTTCATCCAAGGACTTGCCTTAATCGACGAACGGCTTGCCTTATTCGACGAAGGACTTGGCTTATTCGACGAAGGACTTGGCTTATTCGACGAAGGACTTGGCTTAATCGACGAAGGACTTGGCTTATTCGACGAAGGACTTGGCTTATTCGACGAATTTACAAAGGTTTTAAAAAAAAAATATATATATATATATATATGAAGAGAGGTTTAGGGTGTAGGGTTTAGGGTTTAGGGTTTAGGGTTTAGGGTTTAGGGTTTGGGGCTTTAGGGTTTAGGAATCGCTCATCTAAAGTGACAAGACAGGTCCAGAACATACGCACTCAAGCCTGGACACTCAACGGCGCAGTACAAAAACATCCACCAAACGCCTTTGAACACATCGAGAGCCCACATCAACACCGCGACCAGAGCCCTACAAAAACTGAACAACAATTTGAAACCCCACGACAACACCTATGTTCTAACCGTCGAAACCTAAACGATGCTTCGCAAGACAAACGACTTAAGAAAGCCCCAAAACACACTCTCATCTCAACTTTCTTCAGACCTTGAACAGCCCTGTGAGCCTCAGCACGTCTGCATCCCTCAACGGAATTTGGTGCTTGGGGAATTCGTTCTGCATGGTCACTACATGGTCACTACATCGGTTGCCCAGGAACAGGCCTTGGAAGGATCTCAAAGCCATTC